AAGCCAGAAGCTGAGGACAGCTTCACTGCTGAGGGGGAGGCAGTGTGGTGTGGCGTCGGATCGGGGCGCAGACATGTTGGGCCACCTGGCCTCAGCCAATCCCGTGTCACTCTGCGATTCAATGGCATGCGGGAAAGGAAGGCAGCCAACCAGAGAAGGACATGGATGAGATGCAGTATATAGCGAGCGGCGTGGCCAGCGTGGTGGACTCGGATGGGAGGCGCCTGACGCGTGGCTCTTGCTTCTGATTGGTCAATAAAGCCTGTTCTGTTGTACCGGTATTCTTCCTATTAGGGCTCGGGTATTCTACACCAGCCTATCCTCAATATCTCCGCGTACCAATGACACGAGAGAAAGATAGGCAGCCAACCAGAGACAAGCACATTTGAAAAGTGGCGTATAAGGCGCAGAGCAACAAACGAGGTAAACTCTGATGGACGCCCTGATGTGTGTGGTTCTGGCTTGTGTTCAGCCAATAAAACCCGATCTGTTCTGTCAGTCTGCTTCATATCAGGGCTCATGTATTCTACAGTGCGAGAAAGATTTGCGCAGTCTACTGAGACAGAACAATAAAGGAACAGTGGAGAAGACGAATATTCAGAGTGACCTGCTTGATATTAATCATAAGTTCAATAAGACAATTTAAAAGTAAGAAGTGCAAAGTACGATACTGTTCCAGACTATATAAGCACTGAATAGCAGACCCGAAATATGCGATATCGCAATCAAACTTCAATCAGCTCACAAATCTTCAAGAACATTCTTATTTTGAAAAAATATCGGCGTCAACTGTGAACGGGGTTTCGGAATTTTCAAAGTCGACAGAACTCCAGTATTTTGATTTACTAAGGACATCGATCGAAATAAAAAAATCAAGTTTTCGAATCTTTTAGTTCATTAGATGAAATGTTAATATATTTCATACAAAAAAGAAAGCTTAAGAGCAATGTAATTGTTCCCTTAATAGAATGGCAATTAATTGCCTCTTAAAAAATTGAGAAATACAGTCAGAGATGGTAAACGTTTTCGACAATTATTTAAATCTCCAGTTATAAACAAATACACCCTTTCCAATAAGATAGGTCCACCAATAATGCGGAAAAAAGCTGCCTAACTAGAAATTAACTTCGCCTGCTGTATGAACCTGAATTTTTTATTTACTAATGGTTGTAAATTTTGTATTCAGGAAGTTATAAAAATAACGAAGTCCCATTCACTCAGAATTTGCTGACCTCAATCACGAACAAAATTTAAAAATTAATTTTTTATTGTGAGGCAACATTAATTAATTATTGCAACGACTGAGCCTTAGGGTTGTGAATTTTACGGCTCTTTTTTTGGTTTTTTAGGTTTCCCAATTGATGTTTTATCTTACATTTCAAACAGGCGCCCTTTGCGATACTCTGTCGCCCAGGTGTCGTTACTTAAAGTTCGTTTTTTTGAAGTTCACAAAAACAAATGTTTTTTTTATTTTGCTTACAGTAAGTTTAAGGTCTATGGCATATTAGTTGTGATTGGGCACCATTATTGCTCTGGAAACATTTTTTAAAAAATCCCGCCTGTTTTATACCACTTACTCATGTGGCTGCTAATTTAATATTTTTGGTATAACCTATAAGGATTGTCTTTATATTTAAATACTGCACTATGTTGTTTGCTTTTATGTCAACAGTGGTCATAATGGTACAATTATACAATTTCTTTCAAATTTAACATTGAAGTGCCCTTTTGATACGTTATTTTGGTAATCTCTTTAGCTTGTGATAATAAATTGTAATGATTGTTTCAGCCATTTGTATTAAACTCTCATGGCGTTAAGACATTTTAAATAGCGCACTAAGTAACTGATTAATATTTGACCTGTTTCGATCGACCCTGAATCTTTATGTGTACGAAGGCTTTTGGAATACTTCTCGTATTTTGTATTTAAAAATATATCCTTGGTTAAATTCTACAAATTTTGGCCATTCTGTCTGACTTTCGAACATCCTAGTAATTTTCTTTACTACGTGTTTCATTTCCTGCTCCTCTCTATGCTAGCACATGATACATTATCGAAAATTTTGTTAACGCGTGGGTTGTTTTACGAAAGTTGAACAGTTTTAAAACCTACGTCGGTGTCGCACCTTTTTTCATAGAAAATCCTGGGCATAGATTACCAATTGTATATTGAACTCGATTTTTATCTACTATGGATGTCGACTCCGTATTTGATTTGTCACTTTGTTAATAATAAATTACACTGAGCAGGTTCCTGGAGAAGAATGAAAATGTCAGGGGAAACGATTGCATGATCATTAACTAAATAGCTCAACTCTTGTCTTTTTTGAAGCAACCGCTTACTAGGGATTTCACTGGTCTTGGCTGCTCTCAAGAGTGCGTATACACATATGTCTTAGTAGTGTGCAGAAAAGAAATGTAGATTGGTAGCCAATAATGCTTGGATGGGTTAGTCAGTGGGCTTATGAATGAGAGGTTAGATGCCCGGTTAACGTATACCCGGTGATTTGGTGATACATGTGCATATAAACCATAATGTCACTAACGTTGTTTAAATGTTGATTCGAGGCAAACATCAGGAGTGATGATGAGCGTTAAGTAACGCGATTCACTTCATTTCTCGACTTTAGTGAAAGGAATTGGCGATACTTTTCCTACACCGGACAACCAAAATATCGTACGTGACACGAGGCGATTGGTCGTTATTAGGAATGATCGAAACCTGTTGATATTGACGTTACAGCCGGTATGCGCTATGCCATAGACGGACTAAGGCTGGATTGAGCCAGGTAATTTCGTCTATGGTAATTTATTTAAAGAGAAATGAGCTTTCGTCTCGACCAATATAGGACTTAGCTGTCAGTCTTTACCATTTTCGAATCTAATTCCAACCTTCGGTTCAAACTACTCAGTATTGACCAGTCCCTATTTTTGTCCCCACATACTATCTTGCAACAAATTAATTATCTTTTTTTGAGATATAAAACAATAGGTTAAAATGTCATATTCATTTGTTCTTATTTTGAGGTTCGGTTTTTCAATCATTCACAGCTCTAAACATTTAGTCTCTGTGTTTTGATATCGTTTTATCCATTCCGCATGCCCTTTATACTGATTGCCTAGTCATTATTTACATTTTGTGAACCTTATTCTCAACAGAGTAAGTCGAATTCCTGCTAGGTCCTCAGTTATTTTGCACTTTGTAATTTGATTAGCTCAGCTTTTGAGTGCACCACGCATTGGTACGTGCGAATGTGACATTTGTTGGCTGTTTTACTGCTTATCCTTTGTTATTAGTGCCTTGGTGTCAACTCACAGCTGATCTCCCTGCTGTCTCGTCATCTGCACATTCGAGTGTCTCGCCATCAATGGTGTCGGGTGTAGCATTCGAAACAGACCAAGTATGTCTCAATGAGATGCTACTTTTTACTGTCGTGTTCAAGTGCATCGTTAAATTTATTGTGTTGTTACGTTTCACTTCAGTTCTTCCATGTATGACATTTCAGTTATTTGGTAATGTCGCTTCCTCGTTCTTGATCCTTTACAACCATTGTGAATTCTGCCACAGGGTTATCTGTGCGATCACATCCAGCATATACGTGCTTTCCTTGTTTAGGTTACTGATAACCCCCTTTTAATTTCCTAAATAATCATCCTCTTGTCTTGGTTAGTGGACTTTCATTCAGGATTTTAAAATCTTCCAGCGTACTCCACGTGCGGTGTATGGTACCTGTGCAGGTATTGAACACGTTATTCTGAATTTTCAAAAAAAGGCTATCCGCTGACAATCAAACCGACATTAATTTAGTGTCGGTGTGAATTCAGTCATGGTAATTTTGGTGCCGCTTTTTTATTCCACATCAGTTAATGCAAATTTTGTAGTTTACATTCAAATTAAGACCAATCGCGTAAATTGTACAGTGGTGAGCAGTTTAAAAACGTAGTGCTACTCTTTGCTTTGCCACAAGAACCCTCGTCAGTAGATGAACATTAACGGAGGCGAGTTGCTCTCTTCCACTATTGCAATAGTGCTTAGTTTCATATTCCGTCTTTGCTCTCTTTCTTGCGCTTTTATCTTGCAATCTGCACGTGTTTTATTTTATTTTCACATGCCATTTTAATCACTAGTAGATAGAATTCGATTAAAAAACGGAATCAAGTATCACTTATTGTTGATAGTTTGCATTCAAGAAACCGTTTATAGCAAAGGTGTGGACTTGATGGCAATCTGGTCATAAATCCGATTAAGGATAAACTAAAAGGATTGTCGTAAAAGGAGCGTTTCAGAACTTACTGTGGACCCATTTTGGGTACTTATTGTAATCGCGTCTGCTTGAGCATAATGTCACGATACGTATATCTGCTGCAGCGATAAGCCATGCGTGTAGAGTGACGGGTTAACCTAAGGTTTATTTCATGTGTAAGGTCAAGCAGTCACGCATCGACGGTGAGATGAGCGGCGTCAGTTTTCGTCGGGTCAATCCCACTGGCGATGTTTCGTCTCATGGAGAAGACACCTCTAGCATCAGTTGCGCCACTTCACGCCTTCCTCCTCGTTCGCGCGTTCTTCAGCACTTGCGTCGTTTGGCGCTTCCGCTTGCCCTGGGTCAGTTCCTCTCTGCCCTGATCGCCGTCACCGGCATCGCCAGCAATTACCTCGTCAACTTCGGCGTCAGCCTCCCATTAGCTCAGAACCTGCCTCACTACTTCCTTCTCTCCTGTGTGTACGGCGTCTTCAGCTGGCATCGGCTGCTGTGCACTTCAGACGCCACGACGATATTCCTCGATGATGCTTCCGATGTCAGTCCGCAGAAACCAACACGCGCGCAAACATTGTGGTCGTTTTTCCGGCTTAGAGGCTGGCATTATCTGATCGCGGGCACGATTGACGTCCACGCGAACTGGGCCATCGTTTCGGCCTACAACTACACCAACCTGACCAGCGTCCAGCTTCTCGACTGTCTCACCATACCCACGGCGATGATCTTGAGTCGCTTCTGCTTGAAGGTACGGTACAAGTGGATGCATATAACTGGGGTAGTTATATGCCTGGCTGGTGCTGGAGCCATGGTTGGCGCGGATTACTTGGCTGCGAAGAAAGTTGACAGCAACTCCACCACAACTGCGTCGCAGACCACCACAGTCCTGTTGGGTGATTTCCTGGTCATCATTGGTGCTGTCGCGTATGGCGCATCCAACGTCTATCAGGAGTATCTTGTGCGTAGATTTGGAATTATCGATTACTTGGGTTTCGCACCTCTAGCAGCTACGTTTTGGACTGTCATCTACTGTGTCAGTTTGGAGTATGGGTCCATCAACAGCCTTATTCATGCTTCTGAAAAGGTAATTTGTTTCTACTGTCGCAGCATCAGTAGCCCCTATTTTATCTCATAAGTAATTTATTGACTTACATCTTCCGCCTACTATTAACTAAAATTGACATCGAGGCTGTGTAAAGCCTACTACGTAGTATTAGTAACTGCAAAAGGGGGCTAAGTGATTGCAGAAGAACGTTCCTGTCTTAATTTGCGCTTGCGTTCCTGAAAATCGATTCCTTGCAAAGCCTTTATTATGCCTTGCTGTTGCGGTCTTGTTGGGAAATCATAGGGATCCACTTTTTAAGAGTTCCAACAACGAGTGTCCGTGCATTGCACCCAATGACACGTGCTGCTAATTTGGGTATACTACCTGCAAGTGGGCCGAAAACCGTCATGTTTTGGACGGAGGAAATGATTTTTTGGCTTACGCAACTAAAACAAGTGTTTCGTGCAAGAAATCAAGTGCACACTTTATATTGCCTGTGTGCCTTCTTACTCAACGCAATGTTGTCAAACCTGTTGAGGATTTTCTGGAAAGCCAGCGAAAATGTTCTGTCTTTTGTAGCCTTACCTTGGAGCCTCCTTGGGATGTCTGGCTGGCTTCGCAGCAGCAATGTTCCTACTTTACACTGTGTTCCCCTTTGCACTGTCAAGAACAGACGCTGTTCTGGTGAATCTTTCGCTCCTAACTGCAGACCTTTACGCCTTGCTAATCGGCATCTACCTCTTTGGCAACATTTTCCACCCTCTATACTTGGTCTCCTTCGCAGTGATCATGCTGGGAGTCTGCACTTTCGCCTCAAGGGACCCAATTTTTCGTGAACTCACCGACGTAGCTAAAGAGGAAGATGGCGCCTAACGTCCACTCTCTCCGCTACCCACGTCGCCTACATATCAACTTGTTGCATTCATTCGTACGTCTTTAGTAAACCCATTCCTTTTCTGACTCTGGGCCTCTTACAGGCCTTGTAGAATACGACAAGGGATGAGTTTAGGCTGAAAGTGTTCCACCAGAACCTTGGTCTTGATCTGTACCAACGATAACGATTTGGGGTACTAAGCCAAAAACTTGTACAAACACAATTTGCCTTCAGGCATGCGTGCGGTTGCGTTAGTACTTCAGTACAATTCTACAAAATGCGAAAATTGTTCTGTAACAAATTGTTGGAACGTCAATACCGAGGGAGTAAGATAGCTCAGAAATAGTGAGTCCGGGTTTTGTGGATTTTACGTCATGTGTGCAATGGCACAATTCTCCAGTTCCTAATGCGCCTCATACTACTCCCATGCGCTTCCTATAAAGCAGCCACATGCTTCCGCATAAACCCGTTAGCACTCAGTCCTGAGTGCTCTTATTTGTGAAACGCGTGCCTTGTTACACAGGAATGCACGTAGCCAGAATTGGGAGGAAATAGGAACGTTATCGTATTCCCAAATACCTTTTACAACCATTCTGGTTCATACGTCGTGGTTGGTGATATTTACACCTACAAATGATAAGATTTATGCCACTCTAGGGAACACCTGAAAGCATTTCAAAAGGCCGATAGCTAAGTCATTAAATATTTGAAGCAGCGCATGCATCAATCCCCTCCTCGGTGCAGCATGGGATGCACGTCAGAAATACCACTTTATTTTACTCGATTGTGTTGCTACCTGTGCCGGTGTTAACACCTTGGTTGGATATAATCCGGTGAATAGGATGTGTAGTCAAGACACTGTATTTTTACCATTTTCAGTTGATGAGATCATTTCTAAGACGTTTTCGCCGTGTGGTAGGGTAAATGTGACCGCCTCATTGTTATAATAGGCTCACCGCCTATACGAACTCTGAATCCTGCGTAAAACGGCACGGGTAGGTTAAGAAGCCTTTTGTCCGGATTAATTCGTTAAGGAAAACAATTGTAAATATAAAAACCCAACGAAAATCTTGGGATAGTGATTATAAAAGACAACAGGAGTCAGGTAGCGTGACGTCAACACAGATTATGTACAATTGGACGGGTTCTTTCTTTGATTTATCTAACATTTTCATCTTGCTTTGTGACACCGAATCTCGATTGCCTGGGATTCTTGAAATTGTAGCATGGTGAAGGAGAGTCATGTCGCGGACGTCTGTACTTCGTGTAGAAACTTTCAATAGATTCTGAACAAGAGGATTAAATTAGCAAACATAATTACCAGATGGGAAATCAGGATCATCTGTTATCTGATCGACGTCAACCATGAGATCGAGGAAAGCTGAGAACCACTTTGGGTCATTATTTCTCGAGATGACCCGTTCCCGCAGCCTTTGAAGGAGGGGATCCACAATCTCAAGGCGATCCACTAGAGATGTTTCGGACTGATCGAAGCCTGATTCCTCCTCTCCCCCAACTCCAAACTTGAATTGATAATCCTCGAACGAGCCCTCATTATCTGCAGAGCGCGGTATGAGAGCGTGATTGTGCCGGAGCCTAGCTCTTACAACCACTAGACGACCATCCTTTGCTTTGGCAGTGATGTTCGCTAGACACCCTATACACTTTGTTCTAGAAGTCAACATGGAAGTTGCAACACTAAGAGCTCACTTTCCCGGTCGCGGTCGAATTGCGACACTAGTATAACTTCCTCCGTGTATACACTTGAGGCTTACAACTTTATACACGAGAGTTGTTGATTCACGGGTGTCGGGCGGAAATAGAACACTATTCCTCACCTTGAATTGGCTCCCTGTCTCCTCTGAAAAAAGATCCAGAGTGTGCTTGAAGTCATGAAATGTTTCAAAAGAACCTGCGGCAAACCACTTCACAAATTCGTTGGTATTATTCACCACACAGGCAGAATCTAAATGACAAGTTAAAATGCTGTTGTCACCACGTGCCTTCATCTTCTAAGTCCCTTGCCCTGTTGGGAAGCGAAAACTGGGCAGCGCAATCCTCCGGCTCGTGACTATGAACCATGAAATACTTTCCCACTCGCATGTATCCTCGCCGAGTACCAACAGACAAAAAAGCTGGGCATCCCTCACGTTGGCAGCTTAGCTTCATGGCTCGATACACTATTGTACGTCTTTCGGAAGAACCCTCTGGAAAGTATAGTGTTTTGGCCTTTTTGTAGGATGTACGTGAGAGCTAAATAGACAATAAATTTTGACACATTAATCATATCTACCTGCCAGAATACTGGCTCGAAGTGCCTGTTGCAAAAAGCTACTAAATTTGTTTCATTGGTTAATGTATTAGCTGACAGAATTAAATCTACGGTCAATATTGATGTAGTAGACAGCAACAATATAAAATTTCGCTCGCATTAAAGGCAAGAAATGTTCAAAGAATCAGTCGAACTTGAATAGAAAAGCAATTTAAATGAGAAAAAAGGAGTGGAAAGCAGCAAAAATAGCTCACGTAGTTTTGGTTTTAATGAAGGTTGAATTAAATATGTGGCAACATAGCGTTTTTTGTTGTTGACAGGCCAATAAATCACAACACAAGAGCAGCGAACGTAGTTCACTAATCCAAGTCAGATTTCAGAGCTACCATCACAGATTTGACTTCGAGAACTCTATCAGACACAATTTGAAGCAGAATGACAGAAACGACGTCTAAAGTCAAAATATTTTTGTAAGTACACGCATGACTTAACTATCATGATATGAGCAACATGTTTCCTTAGACAAAATATTGAAAATAACAAAGGTCGAAGAAAACATTGGGGCACATCGGTGTCCTATTGACACTGAAAACAACCACATGTTACCTCTATATTCCACTTACATTTAAATAAACACACATGCATTTCGCTGGTAAAGAAAATATATTAGATGCATCAAACAAGTGCGCAATTGATGTTTTAAGTTGCTCTATCTTACCGCCATGAAAGAATTCATATCTGTTGCAAATGAAGCGAATGTTCCGTAGGTCTTTCCAGTAAATATGTTTAGAAAGTCCACAGTTACGTCTGTGCCTGTGGAGACAAACTGAGCACCCTCGACGTTCATCGAATTGACAGGGCTGGAATGGGCAATTGTGTGCGGGCGGGTCGTAACATCTAAGTCATTGGAGTTGTGGGTGGATGGAAATAAAGTTTGACGGCAATTATATTTTGCGTTAAAACATCATAAAATACCTAATTTAAAAGACATTTATGAAAATTATTTGTAAAAAAAAGATTTAGAGTTTGCTGTCTTAATATCTTAATGTAAAGATAAAATTTAAAAACTTTTACATTTTAATTTTGCTGATGAAATTATCACTCTTAATCATGCCTAATGAGCATTAATCAGTCCAATGTGTAAGGCCAAAAAATTAATACTGAATACCTTTTTTTAATTTTCTCATTTTGTCAAGTTTTTAAAGTACTTTGAACCTTTTTTCAACGATAATACACATATTATCTGTTTATATCCGCAACAATGTCACAGGCTGGTTAGGTCCTCAAAAAAAATTATTTTGCTGCTTCGTTATTCACAAGCGCAGTTAAAATTAAGACAAACAAAATCGTGTTTTTTACAGATTCCTTTTTTGTGTGGCCTACAATGTTCTAAGGAACTAGCTCAAACACTCGAACTCTTTTATGGTGGCAACATGGAAAATACAGGGAACCGTGCTATAACCGTCATTTACGCCACCGCTGCCACATATATGGACATATAAGTCACATATTTAGGCATCCCCACTTTAAAATCGCACCGACACTGCGCACCGCTCTGAATGGACTGATTTAAATGCTTGATTAGTTTTAGCTCTTACCTCATTTTTACAATTTCGTGAATAATCACATTCCATTTAACAATGGGTACTATGAAGCTGCAAACACAACATGTAGTTTGAAACACACTTCAGGTTAGGATGTGCACCTAAATCAAATGCAACAAATTTAGTGGTTCCCGTTATGCCGTATAACTAGAGTGCTCTATGCACTGTACTTTATGTTATAAAATCATAATGTATCTTAAATTTCAGTTCTACTAGCATGTTTAAGTAGTTTAACTATAAGATATATAGTGCTGATGAGCCATTATTTCGATGAACAAACTTTTGTTGAAAAATGGAGTTATACAAAGACGAGCAAACTCTCTAGGAATGAAACTACCACGGCTCTCTAAAACCAGCAAGTTGTTGCAAGTCCTGCACTTTAAAATGGTCAAAATTACCATGGATTCGTGACGTATCTACTGTCTAGTTCTCAGAGTTTCGTATACAAGCGGTTAGCAAGAGCGAGTCCCCTTTCAAAACCCTATTCCTGGTTATATGTTGATAAGTTTTGAACCTACATCATTAACATCATTTAGCCAAAACAGAAAATCAATAAGAATATTACCACATATTTACACAAGATACATCTGTAAAAGAAGATAATATCGTTTGGCTGAGATTGACCAACTAGCCTTTCAAAATAGTAAATTCTTAACACAAATAAAATATTTTAGAATAGATAGTTTGCCTGCATTTAGGTGATACATTTGTGTATAATGTTTGGCCAATAAATATTTGTTAGGTTAAAAACACAATAATACTAATAATAATAATATTGAGAAAAGCCTGAGTGGCTAAACGTAATAAGCATGTTTTGCGCGCTTGTCAGGCAGGCAAATCGATCTTCATGAACGTTATTTGTTCATTGGTCAAAATTGAGCTGATCACAAACTGATTCCAACATTGTATATGGATGGGGTAATCTAAAGATATGAATATTCGGTATATAGAAAAATAGTGCTTACAATACATTAAACTGGCTTTTTTCAAATACACTTATATACAGAAACCCGCCACTCATTACTTCATGACATAGGGCCTTGGATTAATGTGATGTGAATTCAATAACTCATTTAAACAACTTAAAATAACTTTCAACAGTGAGGAAGCGTGGAAAGTTTGCATGGAGATGGCTTTTTGTAATATATTATTATAGTATAGAATTACTTTGGTAAAACCGATATTTTGTATTTAAAAATTTGACTTGACAGTGACGTATTAATAATTATGCAGCCCTAAAGAAATAATTAGTGGTCTTTTATTGTTTTCTATTTTATAGTTCAAAATGTTTAATTTAAGCTTTTTGTTTAAGTGGTTAAAATCATGGCGCTGGATTTGTCACTCATCATAATTCGTTCAACTACCCGTATTTAGGTGAAGGATGGAAGCTTTTGGTTACAAGGTTGATCCTCGTAGTTTTGTTTCGACGCCAAGTTTTATCCTGCGTATTGTTTCTCTTGTAAGGTTTCATTTTTCTCTTGTGGCTTATTCAAGGCGTTCTGCATTATTATAATTGCCTGCATTGACCGGGATGGGTATTTTGCTGGTCGTTGCCTGTTTTACAGTGGTGGTTCGGCATGTGGTATCGCCTTGACTACTGCTAGTTTTGGACTTATATTTTGTCTTGTGTACATTGCTATTGATGCCATCTTCTTAAGCATACCACAGCAGAACTACCGAAAATACGTTATAATGGTCGATCTTGGGTTCAGCGGTAGGTTATTTTGTTAAACGTACATCTCCCCACCCTTTTTTATTTCGTTGTTATATAATTAAGTTTGTAACAGCATTGGCTGTTCCAATTTTTGTTTACCTTTTATCTTGTTGTCACTAAATATATTTTTTTAGGAATTTGGACATTCGCATACTTTTTTACATTTTGCTATATGGCCAACCACTGGCAACGTTCGGATGCTGGTAGCGCTCTTGATAATGTTAACGTGAACAACATTCGTGCTTCAATCGCCTTTGCATTCTTCTCCATATTCTCCTGGGTAAGGTTCTTTTTCGGCCTATTGTACATTTAGTTTTTTTTCCCTATTTAACCCCTTTTATTGCAAATATCATTTTTATCCTGAAGTGCGTAGTTAAAAAACCCACTCACATTCTCAAAACATAGTATTTGCTTGTTTTATCTACTCAAATTTAAACATCTAATTATTGCTTAATTAATATTTTCTTGTCATGCGATAATTTTTCTCAAATTCCGCTGGCTTCCATGACACGCTAATGACTAATTTAAAAGATGTTTTGACATGCAAAAAGATACGGGAATAACTATTCTTTTGAGTTTTTTTTGTGTTAAACGTCTTGTTTGTATTCTAACTTTTATGAATATATTGTGTGTATAACCAACTTTAAAACAGTTGCTCCATCTCTGCTGTGTTTATTAAAGTTGTTCATTTTTACCTCCTGAAATATTTGTGCAATGATCCATTATTGCTATAATAAGGCTATATCAGAAGCAGTCGAATTCGTTTGGTCAATATTATTTTCGCCTTTCGCTTTTTGTATAATGGAGCATAAAATCAATTCTGCGGACTGTACTTAGGGCTGCAGTCGATCTTGTATTTGGGTTTTGTTCGAGACCAAATTTGTAGCAAACCTCAAAAAGGTAAGTGGTAATGTAATCGTATCGGTGGAACTCTCATTAAATCGTGTTCAGGCGCTTTGGTGTATCAGGTTCTAAATGGACTGTGCTGTGGTGTTTAAAGCTGAACACTGAATCGTCAGCTACTTAAGTCACATGTTTTTAATTTTGATCGTTGTAGTGCAAAAATCATCATCGGCGAATTTCATCAGCCCTGGTGCTCATTTCACATCAAGGCTTGCGACCTGGTTGTTTGCGGGGGGGAGGGTTACTAGTTGTAGAGATGTTCTATCATATCACAGAAGGATGGAATCCCGAAAAAATGTATTTCTACTTGACTATTGATTGCGGCTAGGCTTATAACCAGAAATAAATTGGGCGCCTTTGGAACCGCAAATTCTGGCCTATGGGGTTCACCTAGTGTCCTGATGTTTTGGTTCTTTTCCCAGCAGTGAGTTCCGTCGTGTCACAGGCACGTTAATTCTACTTCTGTGTGGTAAGCCTAAGACTGATGTGCTAAATGGGGCAAATAAATTCACTTGTCGACCTAACACTTTCTTGGCCTAACTTCCACCGATCCTCGCCTCGAAGTTGCGGTTTTTCCGAAATGTGTAATTTTCCTTACTTAAATTGAGGTCAGTTCACTGTTCCCGTTTATTACTGTTTCGTGGTTGTTGCTACAGCTAGGCGCTACCTCTGCATGAATACTGCATATTCTTCGTTGGATTTGGTGTTATTGCTTTCGTTGCGTTTCTTTTTTGCACATTGAACGCTTACAAGACTTGATTAGCAATACCTCGTATACCTATTGCGGTATGTAATTAGTAAAATAGCTTTTGCGTTTGGTACTGCGCTTGTGTGTGTGTGTGTGCGCTTGTGTGTGTACGTGCGTACATAGGCGGGGTATTTGGTATAGCTCTGTCGCTATTTAGACCCTTTATATTTTGCACTAATTTAGCTACTAATGGGGAATTCGAATAATGTATTTTTAACTCGCCCGCTCTGTGCATTCGGCTGATTCTACCGGGCGTACCTATGTGTAAAATCACTATTAAGAATTAAACACATATGTCTAAAACCCTTTAATTTTATCGTGTAAGTCGAAGTAACACGACCTTTTTAAACCATTTTTGCATCGTTTTTGGAAATTACCTGAAAGTGTCGTGTGGACACTCAGTTAATACTATCTTTTTCTGTCTCCAAACGCCAGTCATAATATGCTTTTGTCCTTTGAGGTCAGTGGCTCAAGTTGTTCCTTCTTGGAAATTCAGCCTAGTCCAAAGTCGATTATTTCACAAAACTGTTACTCTCAATTATTGAACTTTTAGTTCCGTCAACTCTAAACTGCGGGTGCTTAAATCTAAGTCGTATCTTGCTTAACTACACGTCAGTACTTTTTCCAAGAACGATTTGCTGCTTCGCATGTTGACTTTTGTTCTTCGAAGTGAAACGCTGTACCCCACACCTAAGTTTGAACTCCTCTTATCACTTGCACGACTTGGAAGCCGAAACCTTGTTTTGTTATATAGAAATTATCATAAAGGTCGTGAAACCTTGCAAGATGTCTTTGGCGTTGCTCTCACAATTTGTTTCGTATTGGGATTGGATTGTGCTCTACCTTCGAATGAACTTGTTTAATACATCTAGTCTTAATTATGTTTTCTGGATTTCGCTCAGAGGTGGCTGGTGTGTGACTTAATGTTGCTAAACGTCACGCTTAAGTCTGAACGTGTTGCCAATTTAAGGGAAATTCTTTATACTTGTAGGCTGGTATTACCTACACGGCTTACCTGCGTTACCAGTCTTCGAAGACTTATAATCAGTACGCCGATGACGTCATAGAAACAAGAGGAAGCCAGGGGGCTAATGTTGCATCGAGTGGCGGTTACATTGACTACTTTAACCAACCTCCTTCCACTCAGTCTGGATTTGATGGCGCTGGCACCGACGAGTTTGTCTCCGATGCACACCGCGCGGGGGACACAGACCTGCTGGCTAGCTAGTTGAGGATTGCGGTTTCCATTTGCCATTCCTCCCTGTCCGCCTCACCCCCGCCCCACCACCACTATATCATTCTGTCCTTCTTGTTCGGGTCACAATGTCTCTTCTCTTTCTTCGATTGTATTAATCATCAGTCGGGCTCTTCCTTCGATGTGCTTAGCTTGCTCGAAGAATCCCTTCTGTCTATTATACAGACGATATTTTCTAAGAAGTCGAATTTGCTGATTCACTAACACATGGCAATGCAAATGTTTGGGACCAAATCCCACCAGGCGTTAGGACGCGCCTGACTTGCACAGCCAATAGAAATTGCAAATTATGTTGCTGTAGACCGCTCGTTGGCATCAGCCATGGCTGGGAGTTAAGGCTTTTCAACTCCTGCTAGAAGCTCAAAACTCACAGCCGTTGGTAGGCCACGTGTGTTTCCAACTTAGCCCCTCTGCAACTACGAGAGGATTTTTGAGCGGGGCATTAATGCGAACAGTTCTGCTTGAAAATATTGCTGCCATGGGATTTCAATCCGACGGTGTATAATCGCACGGCACCCGACTGAAAATTGCACAGGCTATGAGGTCTCTGCCGTTGACTTGGGTGCGGTCGGTCTAAATGGGCCGTCGTAAGTGTTTCTTGCTGCAGTTAATCATGTGGGTTCGGGTGTTTGAGCGTTGTCGATGTACCTTTATTGACTAATTTTGCTACGTAGATCCCTACCTGGAAAATGGTTCTCCTTGAGTGTTCGTAGTTCCACTTTTGGCGCTGGCGTGTTTGGTGTCGTGCAATTGAGATATATCGACATTGAAGTGAAGTGGCTTATCTTACTAGATGCACACAAATAGGGTACATTTGCCGAACCTTCGGTATATTGCTGCGGGGCTTTACCAACAGGAGAAACTCCCCAAAGTCGACAACATTTTAGTACCTTGCAGCGCACTTAACACTTGATGCATTCCACAGGGTCATGCACTTATTGCAGTTCACCTTAAGATCTTGCGTAATTAAACTTTTGCTGGTGAATAATAAATCCATGACGTTATATCTAAGTGGATACTATAAATAGTCTGGGATCTGGTTTTGCATTTTTTATCTGTACATAGAAGCAAAATGCTTAACCAGTCACCACTGCAATCTATCGCTGAATAGATTGTGTGCCGTGTTCGTTGAGCGACGATTAGCCAATGGCCTGCATACTTAACATTCGCTGTGTTTAGTACCGCTTTACTCCAAAATGTAGACATATACGAATGTGTAATCACAATTCAAAAGGCCATATCATTTCAACAGTTCGTGGTGAGTCCCACATGGGCACCAATTCGTCATGAAAACACCATGTGGAGGCATTTCGGTGCACTTCGAAATTAGAAATCTCAGGTGAACTCCTACAAATTTATATTAGGCGGTGGGTAAATTCTCGAGAACAATTTTGAACAAAAAATCGTCCGGTGGGTACAAAAGAAAAACAATTATAACAAAGAAAGCCGACAAGTGTAATGAGGTAGTTTAAAACTGCGCACATCGGTATAAAAAAGTTATGGATCGTGGTTAGCCGGTAAATTTTGTCCTATTTCTGAGCCTCTTTAAGTACCGAAAGGCGTTCACTCTTGAGAGATCACATTTCATTTATACTAGTACTTAAAACGCAAATTTCAGGCCTGAATATTCTACCTGTTGAGAATAATTTGAATGTGTGTGAGGATAAATCCAACCTATCCCAAGCAGTTTCACTCTTATTCGTTTTGACGCATAGCTAGCACAATTGCAATTTTTTGGGCACGTCAGCCCAAACTTACATTTAATGGCGATAGTTACGCATCTTCGACACCACCTAACAAATCTAATTTTGCCAAACGCAGACTTATCCCCGTTTTCCGAAGTTCTTCGACCGCAAAATTCGCCGCGTTTTTTATCAGGTAACTTTTGCATGCGTCAAACATTGTCTGTATGGTGAAGGATCCGATATTGGGCATTGAATCCATGGTAACATGCAACAGTGACTAAATTTAAGCAATCGAAAGTCCCCGAGTTGAAGATACCGGTTACTCAGACGATATGTTACGTACTCTCAGGACAACTCTTCGGAGCCATTAGCAGTCATGGGTGATTCGAGTTCACATGTGAAAATTTTAGGATAGGTAGAAGACGACGCCTAGCAAAAAACTTTAAACCCGCCCATCGAAAAAGTGTATCGGTAGACACAAATGCTGGTAGGTGGGATCAGCTGCAACTCGTAAGAAAATGACTGATTAACCTTGTCAAGAGGTCACTGAGTCGCGTTTGCACCCAGAGCAACACGCAATGAACGCACACGTCGCTCTAAAAAGCATCGCTGCCAAGGCGCACCACACAACTGCCCTGATCTCACTGACACAATTCATAAAACCCACAACCTGTGTTAGGAGGGATCGAGCACACTCGAAATGTATCAAGACACCTGAACTATTTGTCATAAACTCGGAGAGCATACCAATCAGTATTTAGCTGATTAAAATCCTGACACCACCCATATACACTGTAATCGGGTGAATTTATCTTTTATCCGATTGTGTTACAAATTTCACAAAGGCGTTTTGTAGTTAATGCGTTCCACAGGTATTTTATACTTGAGGGAGAGAGAAGTAGTCTTTCCGAGAATAAAATGTTGCGCTTACATCCTAAAACACTCCCAGCAACTATCAAGCAGAAGCTATGGAAATTTAAGTTGACGTGCACATGTTCCCTGTGGTTACAAGCTGCGAGGAAATGCCAGGCAATTCATGTGACTGCTGTTTGGCAATTCTCCTAACTGACAGGTCTGCATGCAATGGAGAGCGCCACAGGTGAAATCAATGAGAAAACCTACCCTTCATACTTCACAGACTATTCCCATGAAAAAAGTGACTTGACGTGCGAAAGTTTTTGACTTAGGTTCTGCGCGAGGTTGAAAGCTTGCTTACTTGTGGCAGAGCACAGGTTGGTCGCTGCTTTGCACTCGCTTGATTGCCTGTACACTAATGACAGCCAGGCATCAATCTATTTAGCAGAGGCGCGCTGACAGGTTACCAAATAAATGAAGACAGAAACCATACCACCAGAAAGCATCTTTCGAGTTTTGTTGCCAACATCCCGACCGAAATACAAGGCAGCTCGTCCAAAACGAGGGAATCCCAATATTTTGTCATTTTACTAGAGGTCTCAAATTGGTGGACAAGAGGGCGCGCACATTAAAACGGGTTCACGAAAGAAAAGTACGGTCAGTACAGAAGATGTAGGCGATCTCAGCGGGTGCTCTGCGACGCCATGTGTATGTGGAATGTGTGTGTGTGTGCGTGCGCGCACAGTTGCCCTGAATTCGAAAACGGTACGCATATAGCAAAAACGGGTCATCGACCATGGCAAACTATTGGTGAGAGGGGAAAGGAGGGGACAGTGAGCACAGCCATTTTATCGAGACAACAAACGCGAAGTAAGGATAATTAAGTCACAGAGTCACAAGAGAATTGACGCAAGGCAATGGGGAAGAGTAGAAAGAGGTATAGAACGACAGGGAAGATGTTGACTTAGGCGGCGCCGAACAGATTTGGAGGGAAGTGGTCGATCTGGAATTGGTCTGACCTCTTCACCCCCTTCTGTGTGAAGAGAAGACGGATGCGAAGGCGCAGCGGCAGCTGGGGATGCAATAAAAACCCTTTTAAAGGCGTTGGTGTCATAAAAAATCGAGATTTCCATCAGCAAACCCCAGTGTGGGTTTGTCGCGGGAAGGTTGATCACTGAACTAGAGCAATTACGAAATGCATGATTCAATGAGGGCATACCCTGCATCCAGAACTAAGTCTTGATGTTTCTTACTTTAGTATAACAGCATAACATTCAATACACGCCGAGGTTACACAGGAGAGTGAGGTTGGATGTCTTTTGAAGCGACTCACCTTGTTGGGATTGGTGACCTTGAATACTTGTGTCACGGGCGGGGTTGTACTGGGTGCGCCAGGCAGCAAGCACGTGGCCGAGGGAGGGAGCATCTCCAACTGGAAGGTCTTCGGCACAGCGACCTGCAACTCAAAGGACTCAATCGGCAGGGTGCCCGTGTTACGCGACGACGCGCGGATCTGCACGCAAGGCGTCGCAGAAGCAAAACTCAAGTCGAGTGGATCACTTGAACGCTCAAATTCGAAAACCACGCAGATGGAATTCGCCTCGTACACGGTCATTGGGGGTGCCAGCTGTGAGATCGACGTGCCGTTGGACGGCAGCGTTGAAGGTGGTGACTGAGCTGCAACAAAAAGATTTCGACATTTGTTTGGGCTGAACAACCTGAATTTGTAGAACAAACCATGTTTATTTACCAGTTCTGGTTGTATAAAATGCTGAGAAACCAAATCCACATTAAAAGTGCTCTTGTCAACTTCGCCACTGAAAGTAATTCACTCAAAATTCGGCTTTTCGCGTATCACGTAGATTCCTCTCAAGGTAAACAAAACCCTGCCAATTAAGCCAATGAGACTTATAAGTGCATAGGCTTTGCACTGCTTTAGTATTTTGCTACGGAATACGGGTCTTAACGCCGCTCACAGCAAACAGTGAGCAGTGCACACTACTGCCATGTGATATCTGCAGACAAAAAGAACGGGAGGTCCATTGAAGCAGTCGCTAAGAGCAAGCACCGTGCAGACCACAGAAAGTGAGTATGGCGAAATTACAGAAGGCTGTGGGCGGACTCTGACACAGACTCTGAGCACAATCGTTCCTCTGGACGTTTGAAGTTGCTAGCAGTAGCCGGTGACGCTAAAGACCGACATACTGCATCTGCACCGCAGCTAATAAAGGGTAATGAATATTGAGGCATTTGACGACTAAATGCCAATTGTTCACGCCATACATTAGTACAAGAAGCTGCCTGATGCATAACTAACGACGGCTCCAGATAAGGTCTTACGGACATCACGACAATAAACCCACAAAATCGCCCACTAGAAAAACTACACTGGGCCTCAGTTCTAAATTTGACTTACTTGGCGGCGAGAATAGTGACGGTGCGGTTGTGTTGGTTGGTGGGAAAAGGGAGTCGATGGCGCTGGGGACTTGATTAGCAGGAACAGGCTGTGGCGGCTGCTGAGTTTTAGTCAGGGCCGAGTCATCCAGGATCAGGTCGAGAAGGTCGTTGCTGAGGTTGCCAACTTGGGGCCCACCACCACCACCAACAACTCCAGGGGCTGTGGGTCCGTTAGCTTAAAACCGAAAGTTACCTATTTAACATGTCTGAAGACACTTATCGACATTAGTAGCTCAACTAGCGGCACCAAGAACATACTACAAGTAGGCATCGAATGTTGGTTAAAAAGGTGTTGATCAAACGTCTCCTCATAAAAATTGGGGCACAAATAAACCCTGATGGCAAATAGCAGAGGAACGACGACGACTAAAGCACAATACCCACATTCAGAACGCGCAAGGTCTATCGAGAAGGGAGGGATTTGTGGACAAGATCGAAAAAAGCAAGGTACAGGTAAACAAAATGCGAAATGAACCCCATGGCGTTACTCGGCACTTCAGCCGTGCATTATCCACCTCCGCGCGACTTACGCATCTGCCCGGACGGTGTTGGAGAGGTGTCTCCAAGGAGATCCAGCAGAGCGACCGCCTCGGTCCGATTAACCTGGTTAGAGGCATCACCACTCAGCAGGTCAGCAACGTTGTTCTTCTCCGGCTCTTCGCCACCATTCTGTTCCTCCACGTCCACGTCTTCAGCACCCTCGGAGAGGAAGTAGCTGGAGGGCCGGAGAATGGGCATGCATGCGAACAGCCCCTCCCGAAAGTTGTCAGCACGTTTGTTGAAGACCGAAGAATACTCCACTGAGCGCTGCTGCAGTTCCAGGTCCATACTCTTTGAATAGAAGCTGACAAGGCTCTTGATGCGACTGTGGAAAGATGAAGCTCAATTATTTAGGGAACATATATACGGTTAGTCCTATGACCACCGCAATTCGAGGTCAAATGTGTCAGAGCAGCAGCCTAGCGGGTACTTGCCTTTGGTGTGTGGGTCCGAGCCGCACGCTCAACTTCATGATCGTGGAAACGACCATCTGCTTGGTCTGCAAACTGCACACCGGCGAGGTGAGCGCCAGTGCGAAGAGGTCGATTATCTCATCTTCGGTGACGCGGAATGGCGGCTCGTCATCACGACCAATACTTGTGCCTTGGACCAGGAGATCCGCGTACTCGCCTGTGCACCAGGTAGCTACCTACATGAAGCAAAATAGGCTTCAACTAAGAAATACGACAGACACGATCATCTACTCGCTGATATTAATATCGGAAAATATACTACGCTATGCGATGGTGCAGCTGGTCAATAAGATCAAAATCACCACTTCTAAAGCGTTGGCAACAATAATTAAACGTTTCAAAGGAAACAAATTGGGTGCTTTAGGGGCACCTTTTCATTGTTTGAAGTTGCATAAAATGCAATGCCGAACGCGCTGTCAATTGCCTGAGTAAATTGTGCTACTTTGAGAGGCAATGTAACTCACGAAGACTTGTCTTTCGGCGTTTTGAAACCTTGCGTACGATCCTTTCAAAACCACAAAAGACCATGAAAATAGTTGCATTACAAAATAAGCCTAAGCTCAAGGAAATAAGCTGTAAAAAACCAAGTCACACACCTTCCAGTTAGGAATTGAAATGGTTCTCACTAGGACTAACAACCATATTGGCCCGTTGATATACCCATAAAGCTGTTTAACAAATGTTAATCTCAATTCCTCCCATAGTTTTACTTAGCTTTGGACGAAAAAGAGGACAGGAAGTGGGCTGGAGTGGGACATGCACACAGAGTGGCTAAACAGACCTGGACAAGCGGCTGCTGAGTCATGTCCTCGCGCATCGCCTTGAAGAGCTGGGCGGCGGAGTACGCGTGCAAGGTCGGAGACTGGGAGATCAGGTAGACGAGAGAGGCGACCACATCGTCGCGGGCACGATTGCCTGCCTAGAGGGCACAAACGGCTGAGTTAATGGGCCTTGGAGCGATACCAGAGTAGTAATTATAGCCTAAATCACCATGGCTACAAGCAAACGATACTCCAATTTTTACACACCAAGTACTGCATGAACGTGCTGGGAAAAGTATAACTGCCAAAACAAGGAGATGTTAAGGTTAACACAGTAAACCCGAGGTCTGCTCCAACAAAGAGAAACAGGGCGCAATCAAGCTCACGGGTAGATGATTTCAGTTACAGTAATTACACCGCATAGATAGAGATAGCAATTTCGGTAGACAAACACACCAGTTTCAGAACAGTCATTGTAGTGTCCACGCGCCATCGTGTGTTGGGAGAATACTTTTCTACGGCAGTTATGATCTTTGAACAGACATCAGATTTGAATTCAACGTCGCAGTTCTCTAGGAACCAAAGCAACTCCTTAATCACCGTCCGCACCGTCGAGGCATTGATGAGCACAAAACAGAGATCCAGGGCTCGCCTGAAATGAGATGCATAAGAGAGTTGGCAAACGCATCTGTTCGCTCCCGAGTGGACGTAGTTGTGGATATATGCAAATAAATCAGCTTATGAGAAGTAAACTACACAACGAAGCGAGTGTACGTGGACAGGCCGCTCAAAGTTCCTCAACACACAAGTAGTTGACTAAAGAAAATTGCATTCAAACAGAAACAGAAAATACACAAGCACCGTACTCCTCTTACCGCTGAATAGAGGTATCCGGGTCCTTTAAACACTCGAGAATGGTTGCGCGGTGACGCTGAACAGCTCGTTGGTCCACACTAACTACACGAAGAAGGGTATTCAGCGAGACGTACCGAATATTCTTGTCTGTGTTTAGCAGAAAACGGCCCAAAATATTGATTGCTAGAACCTAGGTTGGTAAAAACAAGTGAGGGCCAAAATGGCGCAAACATGACGCGGTAACGCAGCAAAAGATAGCGCGTGACACAGAACTGGAGGCTAAAATAAAAGGCATAAATGATGATAGAAAATACAAAGAAGTGCTACTATTGAAAACGAATGTCAGTCGAAACAGTGAATAATGAGGACTAACGACACAGGAAAGTGAAGCGGTGTCGGAAATCAACATACTCGAAGCCCAGGATCGGATTCGATACCCATGATGGTGAGAACGATTTCGTAGAGGATTGCGTGACCGACGTTTTTGGTTGTCTCGGTGCTAGTCGCAACTTGGGCAAGAATGTCGTTCATTGCCTCGCTGGCCGACTTGTCGCCGTGGCCGAGGATTCGCATCAGACGCAAGATCTTCACCTACGCAACAGAAAGCTCAGTAGGGTACCATCTGGGTAGCCCAAAACGTCACAATTGAAGTCACAAGTATCATTGGGAATTATGTTCGATTAAAGATCGCACTCTCATCTGCCGAGCTTTAGGCAACGTAGGAACAAAAGACAAACGGCTTACGGAAAGACCACGATCATTACCGGCAAGATTTCATTGGGTAGTGGAGTAGAGTTAGACGGGCTTAATGTTGAGCATAGCTAGCGAAAGATACCAATGAGAACGAGGAATAGTCGAGACGCACAACGAATGCCCAAACTCAACCTTTCTTATTTGCTAGACATGGTGTCATAAAGGCAAGTTTTCGTCAATTGATGTGATAAAAAGCACTTGGACTAACATGGATTTTTAATTCGCTGTCTGATGACATAACAACACACTTCTTAAAGGAAATTTCCAATGTTACATGATGGACTTTTCCGTGTTTAACAGCTTAATCTGACAAGTATTGAACTACAACTGAACAGGCAAAAACAAGATTCCAGTAAGATCCAACGATTACTAGACTCGATCAAAAATGCCTCGAGAAACAACACAGGAGATCACATTTGTAAACCAAAATATACGTGATCGCTTTGCTAAAACACTGCTGGAGATGTCAGCATTCCTCAAAAAACAACTAAATTAACAGTGACTTGTGACGTCTATTCACTCAACTCGTTCATACAATTGCAATCACAATGCATAACAACAAAGCATTACTCAAGTCATCGATCTCGGATAGCCCGCGCACATATAAGTGGGCATATCTGAGCATACACTCGACTTCCACGTTGATCCCATCTTGTGCTTGAACCTTTGGTTCACACGGTAAGGCCCTCTGCACAAGCTCTAGTCTTTTCTTATTCTGGGAAAACTTCGACGTGCCAAACAAGGGGTTCCAACGTAAAAAACGCCTTCCTCAATTTCTTCTGTCATCACTTTACAACACAAAAGTGTCGCCGGAACCGCACTAAATTGTCTTAAGCCGCATAGTATACATTTGGCTGAAGTGCAAGAAATGGGAAAATCTTACCTGCAGAAAGGGATCATTGATTTTGTTGACCTCATGATCCGGCGAGTAGCCCGTAGTCACTAGGGTTTTCAGCGTTCTAACGAGGGTTGGGACCATTTGCTTAAAAAAGCAGCGCAAACGGATTAATTGTGGGAGAAGCATAACAGGCAATACGCCATGCGTTACTTACTAGTAGCAAGTACGAAAGCTAATATCGATTTCAAATCTATCGTTCAGTTTGACTTTGGGGGTTTATTCACATAATTAATTGCGTCAACACGGACACGGAAATGTCAAAATGCCTCTTACTTAGTACTGGATGACAAAAAGCAACCTAAGAGTGTCCCAAAAGATATAAAATTCCAAAAAACGAGTTGTTTTGACTGAGTTGATTGCACAAACAAGCTGGCAAGTTACCTTCCTGAAGTACTTGAGGGTGTCGGGACTTCGTTCGCACATCTCGGTGATAAGACACACGGCAGTCAGAAGGACGCCGTTGTTCTTGTCGTTGAGGAGAGCACGTGCGCAGGGAATAAACATTTCCATCAATTCGGGCACCTTGCGGATTATTCGGAAGGCGCACAACGCCGCCTGAATAAGCAGGTGTTAGGACAAGGCGAACCAATTAGACAATACGGTAAATACCGAGCGTTTTAAAGTTACCAAAAATCAACCTAAAATCACCGATTCTTCTGGTCTGATGTCAAGTATTGGACGCTAAAGTTAAAGTCGTCATTATTTAAGACTACGGGGCTGGTTTAATGGAACTGGAAAACACAATCTAAAACAGCCAAGACCGTTGACGTTGGAGTCGGGAAGAAGGGAGGGAGGCGCATTGACAATCGTACACAGAAGCATGCGAATTTAGACTTAGAGGTTTAATGATTTCACAATTACTGAATTTCTAGACTAGACTGACTGCTTCTGAGCGGCCACGAGGTAGTCTGCAGTGTTGCAGTCTTGGCAGAACGCGAGGACGAAAGATCAAAGGAAAAAGCCACAAATTGGCGCCGTAGCGGTCCATTTTTACCCCAAATTAATGCAACTATAAATTAAAACCCGAGATATCATTTCTAAGTTAGGTGATTTACAGTTTACACCACTTTCAAGATAACCAGAATATTTGGCAAAGCGGCTGATTTAAAACGGCATATGCGATGTTGGAGGCAGTTCCGTAACACAAAACTAGAGCCAAAAGTAGTTCAAAGTGGCGCAAACCAACTAATATCGGTTCTGTGAGAGGCAACTGAAGGTCACTAAAACATTCTGCAGTGTTAAGAGTGACGGAATTCGCAAATATGAAGCCTGTGGTGGTAATATTGGACAGCAATGCCTCTAAGACTAATACCGTACAGTAGTTTAGCCAAAACGAAAAAAATGGATCACATAAAGTAAAGTCTAGACCAAATATTCTACTTATTATGGACTAAACACTGTTATGAAATATGAATCCAATCGTTTGGAAATGATAGCCTGAAAAATCCAAGCGAAAGAACACGCACCTTCTTTTTGATATAGGGGTTGGTCGATTTGACCAGACGTTCCACCTCACCAGCCAAATCACGACTCATTTCCATTGAACAGATGGAACCGAGGGTACAGAGAGCCAGACTCGTTATGTAGACGTTTGAATGATTTAGATCACTGGAAAGTGAGAAATGTGCACTTGGCACAGTTAACTGTACCACGGACATCAGCACCTAACATTTCTACAGAAAGTACCTGGAATTAAAATTATACTAGAACCGTTAAAAACGGACGAAGTAGCATTAAAAGATACACTACCTAACGTCCGACAACACAAAGTAAAAGCATAATTCTTGTTAAAGCTTATTAACTTATATAAGGAATCATTCGTCTAAAGTGCTCAAATTCGAAAACCACGAAAGCTACTAAATCATACTTTTACTTGTTACAGGCGAAGCAGGAAGATTGTCATTCAAATTTACTCAAAAAGGGCAAATACACTCCTTCAACAACCACTAGTACATGTTAAAACGTGTAACTTCAAAATTGAGAGGTCGGAATAGGAAAATTAGGACGAGTTGGGCAACCTTTGTAATTAAAGACACCTTCAAAATTAACAGAATCGGTCTATAAGTATCAATACACAGGACTGAAAACATACTTCTTAAGAGAGTTCGTGACTAGTAGATGAACGTCTGATCGTTCGTCGAGAAGAAGCATAGCACCCAGGTAACCAACACGCTTGTCCGTGAAACGACCCGAAGCAATCAGTTTCAGGCATTCTAACTAAAAAGACAAGTTACCAATTGGCCAAGGAAATTTTTATAAATAACCGAGTCACCGCTCAACAATCACAAGTATTAGCGAAGTTTCGGACACAAGTGGACAATTAGAAATGTGGCGGAGTTTACTGTAAGTGCTGTGTACATTTATCGAATCGGCGCTAAAAAACTATTGCAAAACAATTTTCGGGTCCAATGTAAAAAGAGACTATGTTTTCAATTAAATATCATCTAGATAAATGTAGAAATTAGTTTTGATTTCCGATAATTGAGCTGCTTGTGAATCCCTCGAATGACGGCTGATTTAAAATTCAGACAAAAAATGACTTCAGACGACAAGATCAGTAAAATTTAGCTGCCACTGAATTATTAAGCCCAGACGCAAATAGAAACATAGAAGCATTAGTAATGGCAAACACGCCATGAAATTAATATGCAAAACGACCCATAAAACAGCAGAGTGGTAGCAGCATGACTAGTGCTAGAGTTAGTAGTCATGGTGAATTAATAAATACAATGAGCTCAATGACAACCCATTGTCAAAAGTAATTGCACAGGAGCAAAGACAGAAAGTTACGGCAAAAGCAATATAGACACAGAAAAAAGTCAAGTGTATTCGAAATGAGTTCTAAAGCAGAAAGCATATATTTCAAAAATATTTGTACCTGGCCGAAGTGTGCAGGATATCCGAGCATATGAATATACAACAGTTTGGCAACGTTTCGGCAACGGTGCGTATCATTTTCTTCACGAAAACTGTCACGAATTTGTGCACATTCACGACTGACAATGGCTCTCTCTTCTGCGGCAGTGCGGGCTGAACGAATATCACGAATCAAGTCCCGGAGGCGTTTTGGCATAGGCATGTTGGCAAACCGTCTAGGTCAAAGAACATAAATAGACAGTTGTAGAAACATAAAACCGGCAGATTATATCCTGAAACGGCATTGCGTAATATTAAAAAAATTCACTAATTATTTTGCATGCGTAATAAATGTAGATGGATAGCAGACAATGGCAATACTAGACAATTTCAATGGGTTGAACTCATTGTCTAGGAACTGCACAGATTCTCTTGACTTAGGAGCACTTCAGGTGAACATCCTGAATAGACTAACAATTACCTAAACAGACATCATTATTAGATTCCGGCGTGACATAATAGTAAAAAACGAACATTAATTAGAAAATGAGAGCCTGATGCAAAATCAATGAAAAATTTAGGGCACCCGAAGCAGGATATTTCGCGATTTGATTCACAAACTCTCCTTGTAATGCAGACACAAAGTGGTAGTGTCAAGCAAAAGAACTGCTGCACACCAGCAACGAAAAAAAAGTTTTATTTCTGCTACCAAAAGCAAATTTACTTCACGTAACTTCTGCATTTCATAAAACTGAGTTTGGCAAATTCGGTTTATGAAGGATAACGAGTAATTTAACAAAATTCATACACATTTGTGACCTCAAGTAAACTTTACGCGTCAATTTATGGTCGTTTATGCATTTTTCGCGTAAATCCCGGCGAAAATCATCCAAAAAATAAGAAAACCTACGTAAACACCCGACAAAAGCGGCTGATTAATTAGTAGGAAGAACGAGGATAGCCAATCGGCTTGCAGCAGTCACATCAGGTATTTGGTTTTGACATTAGGACAAACGCTTTATTCATATAGCAGGTATTGTGAAAATTTGTCGAGATTTAAAGTTTGCAGTATAAATCGAAATCGAAATCAAGCTAAAAATTAATTTGATCAAGACTTATTTGAAACAGTTGCAAACGTTAGAAGCATACTGTTGATAGAGAATTATCCATCAAAAACCTTCCGCGGAAAACACAAACCCAAAAAGTCTGCAGAATTAAATTTATCTGCATATACAATAACAATACACCAAGAAGATAAGCCACCATAACAACTCTACTCGGCGATTTATTAAAAAAGCGAACAGAATAAAAAGCTCGAAATGTTTAGTTCCATTATAATTGTTCCTTTTCGTTATATTCTATTGGTAGCCAATGTGAAAAGGTTTGTCAGGATCAAATGATAAAAACAACTTAAGTAAGGAACATTAAGTGATTACTTAACAAAACTTTTCAAGTAGTGAAATAGGAACGCTACTTATTTCAATTTTTGCACACAGATACGGTGGTTACATGAGAAATTTTGCTGGAGATTTTCTAGTTACGCATCGTAATGCTATTGTTTAGAAAAACGATAATTCAATAGAATTATATGTTGTCAAGATGGTTAGAAATTTTTAACAGCAACATTTAGAGAACAAATTTTACTGAATCTACATTATGAATAATATTTATTTTTGCATGGTTTTGTTAATTGCAGATTCGATTTACATGAATCATGTTATGTGCAGGAGTTTTGCCAGTGCTGGACATGAAGCAGTTTAGACATTATTTCAACAGGTCACTTTATGTATTACCAGACTGTTATTATCTAGTGCTTTTAGGATATGGTAAGGGATGCTCTGCGCTGGCTACAATCTAAGAAGGTGTTGCTTTTTTTATCACTAATGGCGAACTAGGGAGACTAACATTAAAGCGATTTACGTTCTTAAATACTGCAATTTTAAAAAAAAGGAATATGTAATGTTATGCTATATTTTTTCAAACAAATTAACGATGAAATTAATGCATTTTCCTTAAATGTCCTGAAAAAAATTATATGATTTTAATTGATTTAATTACTACTTTTTTCATATTTCTACACACCCATATTTCAATTCAAGATATTGTTTAACCCAGTAAATTAACTTAAATCATAAAGTGCGTTCCATGAATTAACGCCGCCCTTATTACTTTACACTCACGGTTTGCTGCAGAAATGGATGATAAAAAACTTGAAGTGCCACAAAAATCTATGTACCAAACTATGTGGAATTTACAGGTTTTACTGAAATATATATGCATGCGTGATGCAGTGCCCCTTAAATGCTTGGTGTGTCGTGATGCAAACAACATTTAAGCCTTATAGCTGAAATTATTACGCAAAATCAATTTTACCAAAATAGTCCTGAGAGGAATTGCAGAATTAGCATTAGACTAAATATAAGAGCTACGGCGTAAAATTGATATATCCAGCATTTTGATTGAACTCAAGGCATTTTACATTGAGGAAACATATTTTTACATTACACTACATTTCTTTTTTGTTCAAAACGCTCGGATTCATCAATCTCACAGACGGGGTGAATTAATGCAGGTGTAGATTACCCGAGCTCTGGCATGATGAAGACTTGTACTAGAGAACAGGCTTTATTGACCAATCAGAGGCCACAGCCACACGTTGGGCGTCGTCTGTCCGAGTCCACCACGCTGGCCACGTCGCTCATTGTATACTGCTCCTCAATCGTGTCTTTCTTTGCTTGGCTGCATATCTACCTCGCATGCAATTGGAAAGCAGAGACACAAGACTGGCTGAGGTCAGCATGGTCCGATATGTCTGTGCCCTCAGGCGTCACTTCACTGCCTCCCAATCAGGAGGGAAGCTTTCCTCAGCTTCTGGCTTGGTTCCATGCACTGTTGATGATTAATAAAACATCCAGTTCGACACTCCTTGATTCTCCACATCTGGCAGGATAGTGGTCCAAGCGAATAGAAGACGATGGACATTGCTCTCGTATACCTGCAGGAAGGCCGCTTCATCTACCGCAGTTTACTTCTCCACTTGCAGTTTTGCTGACTTCTACTGTCCATACGACTGTCGCTGAACTGCTAATGCCTCTTCAGATGCAGTAGTCCTAATCCCGGGCAATGTCTATGGATCCAGTGTATGGGACATCGGATGACCGCCATGATAACTTCAGCTGGCATTTAAGGGTCTTTGCCTCTGTTGTCCATTGAAGAGAAAGGGCTGAGGTTCGATTTGCGTCATTGAAACGCATCCGCTGCCGCCAATGTAGAATAGCCGAGGCCTAATAGGAAAAAGACTAGTACAACAGAACAGGCTCTTTTGATCAATCACAAGCCAGAGCCACACGTCAGGTGCCTTCCATCCGAGTCCACCACGCTGGCCACGCCGCTCATTATATGCTGCACCTCAGTCATGTCCTTCTCTGGTTGGCTGCTTATCATCCTCGCATGCCACTGGAACGCAGAGAGACACAGGATTGGCTGTGGCCAGGTGGTCCAACATGTCTGCGCCCCGATCCGACGCCACACCACACTGCCTCCCCCTCAGCAGTGAAGCTGTCCTCAGCTTCTGGCTT